AGTGTCTTGGTGTCTTGCTGTTTTCTGCCACTACTGTGATTAGTTATTGGCCAGCCAAAAATGCTAATAGTGCAGGTGAGGCACTCGGCCCTGGTGGCGATCAGTGGATTCATCCTCCCGCTGGAGAATAGCGCGACTGTAACCTCGGCGGTGAAAGGGAAAGCTGTCGGGTCGGATCATTGCGAGAGACATGAGATTGAACAAGGCTGGAGATTGCTGATGATCGGATCAGACATGGTTGCATGGGACAGCATGTGCTCTGCATCTGATGCCACTGCCGTGGCTCTTCGCTGTCTCCAGCGAGCCATCTTTCAGTACTCGACCTCTCTCTCTACCTCTCTCTCTCTCTCTCTCTCGCGCGAGCGCCCGCTCAGTGTGTGTGTGTGCGCGCACACGCACACACGAACACACACCCCTTGCAGCCAGCAACACGGCAGTGCAGCGAGTTTAAAGCAGCTGGCTGCATCCAGAGACGGGATGATCGACGACGGGAAGCAAGCCAGACGGCGACGCCTGTTGAGTGGTCCAATCAAGCTTGGCAGCTTTGCAGACCCAGGAAATTGAGCAAGATCAGCAAACCCCCGTCGTTTCTGCCCGAACAAGCCCCCTCCCCCCATCTCAGCTGAACGCCCTGTTTCTCGTCCCCTCCAGCGACGCGTGAGCGCGTGTGTGGGTGGATGGGGGAGGGGGGCATGTCGGGGGTCCGGACAGGGTGCCGTCAGTGGCCGAAGCAACATAAGCCAAGCTGTCCAATGCCGAGCTCGTGTTGCCGTGAATGCCGATGCTGTCCAGTGTCCAAAACTGAGGGCCGGTCCATAACTAATGCTCCGTTGATGATGATGTTTCAGAAGCTTCAAGCTCACGATTCTCTCTCTCCTAAAAGTTGCCTCTGTTCTATCCACCGGTACATAGGGGATTGGGCACTCTTCTAATCCAGGTATGCCACGCGGAGTGGGCCATATCAGGCAGGGCAAAAGCCGTACATATAATAAGGGTGCCTTGCTCAAATCGGGGCGGACGAGGATGTGGGTCCAAGGAGAGTAACAGAGAAACAAAGAGTTCAAGACTCACGAATTTAGCAAGGCCGTGGCGTGGCCCGTGAGTTGGCGTTGTCTTGTGCGGGAATAGGCGGATCTGGTGTCTGTTTGCCTCTGCATGTCAACTTTGTTCATTTGGATCCCGTAGCGCCCGTGTCTCGCTGTCATGTCAGGCACGCACGTACTGTTGGAAGCCCCCCGTTGAATGAACCTTCTTCACTGTAAGTCTACCGTACCTAGCGGGCAGAGGGGGTAGTGGACTCGATGGCGTCGACCAGGCTCTTAGTGGGTGTGTCGGAGAGGCAACAAGTGTGGGACTTGTGTCTGAGATGGCTCGACGGCAAGTTTCTGATGACAGCGATAGCTTGACGTGATGCGGTGAGGTATTTGGAGAGAGCCGCAAGGGTAGGAGTGCGACGGGTAGCCGGCAGCAACAAGAGGGACGGGCGTAGGGTGCGTTTTCAAAGTGCCAGTATTGGTCAATGACGGGATCAGGAGTAGACAGTGTCCAAGAGTCAAAACTCAAACGTGCTGGCTAAACAACTAGCGTCGGATGACGCTCAACGTCAACTACTGCCGGGGAACGGTTGCGGTCTTATATTCAACGTGGGTATTCTGGGAATAACCAGTGGCTTCCCGACGGCGTCTTATGCTACACTAGGTTGGATGTGCCGTCGTCCCAAACGTTGCCTTTGTCGAAAACGTTGGTGTAGCCTTTTTGGTCGATCGGAGCACGACATTGAGAACCGATGCGGCGGCCTAGGAGAGACACTGGTCAAGGCCGAAGCACTGCCATCCAGAATTATAGACGCTGTACCCGTACGCTCTCTGTGAATGGGGGGGCGAAGCGAACGACGGCACAAGGCGTTCGGCGGTTGCGGGTACTTCCTTCAATTGCCTTTGTGTTCCCATGCGAGGCGATAATGGGGAGAATGACTGAGTATGGACGAGTTGGTGAAGTATGCGTGTGCCCTTGATCGAGACCAAGCCCTTGCGCCAAGAAAAGCGAGGTGCAGCTGAGTGAAGGTACTCCAAGGGGGCCAGAACTTGATATAGCTAGATAGTACGTGCATATGGCGGTAAGCGGCGGGTGTGACAGAACCCGACTCGACGAGGTGAAGGGAGGAAGAAGGCCGGAGTCGAAATGAACGCCAGACGAAGGGGGAGGCTAGAGTCACACCCTCACAAGGCTCTGGGATCTGGAGAGAGCGTTGGGAATTGCATGCCATGGCTATAACAAGGATGACGAAGTAACCAGACGGCGATTGGCGGCTGTAGTGCGAGGAAATTGACTTGAAGGGCCAAGCGGGCACGCAGTTTCGCTTCTTGAGGCTCGGTCCAAAGTCGAGCTCGCAGGGGCTGGCTGGCGGATTCGTCTAGGGCGTCACGCCGATGTAAAAGAAGCGGCTGTACTCCGTACAGTTTCGGTATGTAGCGTGTAGAGCAAGGAGAGGGGCGTTTGACTGGCGCCAGTACGGATACAGTACAGTACAGTAGTGTACAGACAGAAACCGCAACCAAGGTGTGGGAGGGAGGGCGTTGGGTCGTTACAAATCAAGTTGGTTGCATAGATGGCCTCGGTAGTGTTGACATCGGTTCCTCGACTCGACTAGATTGATGGACCCATTGCCACGGCAAGGTCTAGGTCCGTCTCCCGTCTCCTCTCTTGGTCCGGAGGAAAAGGACAGGATCGACGGCTAGGAGGAGGAGGATTGCAGGGAAAACCCTTGCTGTAGATCTCACAGGCCTGGACCGGGTCCGAAGTAATACCCAATATCAACCAAGTCCCTCTGCGACAGGGTGGGTGTGTTTTCTGGGGGAGACGTACGGAGTACAGGTACACGCACGTACTTGAGAGATTGCAAAGGCCGTAGCGCCGTACTGGAGTATCCGCATACTGCGTAGGGCGGGAAGAAGGCGTTTGACATGGATACGGCCGTGGCGCGGGAAGCAAGTGCAGCAACGAGGGTGCGGTAGCCAAGATCATGGTGTGGGTGTCGGTGTAGGGATAGGTGGCTTGAGGCGGTTGGATCTCTCGAGCTGTCGGCGTCGGTTGGGAGGGCTTAACTTGATGATGCGAGCAGTGGTGAGATGTGACGAGTAGTGATTGTTCGTACACTAGGTATCGTCGAGAGTGGTAGTGAGTGGCTGGCTTGGGCGTATGAGTGCGTGCGGGAGAGAGAGTCGGCGGCGGACGGGAACGACCAGGGCGGGCGGAAGGTATGGATGACGGCGCTGAGGCACGCGCCACTATAGGTAAGTACTTACTTGGCTTGTCCCTCTGGGCAAGTACATACCTAGCTAGGTAGGTGACTTGCACCGCACCTGCCTCTATGACTGTTACGGACGACAACCTTGACGAGGGCAAAGGGAAGGAAGCAGTTCTGTCTACCTACATTAGATACATTACTAGTATGTACCTATGCTGCGCGGTACCTACCTAGGTAGGTACCGGTAGTCAGTCAGGCAACTGAGAAGGGACGTTCTTTCCCCAAGGTAGGTATCTGTCAGTGACGGAACCGTGCAACCTCTAATGCTAGGTAGTAGCGCAAGGCAAGGGCCGCTGCCAAAACTGATGCATAGCTCTGGGCAGAGATCAGGCGAGTTTCAGTGGGCAGGCTCACCCCTAGCCGTCGCGGGGCGCTGGTTGGTGTCGTTGATGTTAGTTTCTCTCCCTGGGGAAAGCAAGGAAGGAACACTTTGCGAACCTGCACCAACCCGCCAGGCAACAGCAGGCAGGCACAGGCAAGTGGCCCCTCTCCCCACGCTCCTCCTCCCTCACCACTCACTACCACGCAACATCGTCATGGCCACACCTTCCCTTCTCTTCATTCCCTACTATTCCTGGGTAGGTAGGTACTGACTGTCTCTCCCAATACCATCCCTTCCTTCCCTCATACGATATACACTACCGCCGCCACCCAATAATGGTAATATTTCCCCTCCGGCTGTACTAGGTTCTTTTTCTTTCTTTTTCCTCCATCAAAACCGTCTCCCAAGTTTCCGAAAAAAGCATATCCCACCCCCCCTGGCAATTTCACATCGATACTGACCACTCACTCGCTCGCTCACTCACTCACTCATTCACTCACTCATACAATCTCCATTCTCCCTTGTTGACGAGGACACGCCGTTTCTGCAGGCCGCCGTTTCGACCTCGACTTGGAACTCGAACGCGCAGGCACACTCACCGTGCGGTACTTGTCCAGTTCTATCGGTAATGCTTGTTGTTCCTCGCCGCATGCGTCAAGTCACCATCCGACCGACCGCCTTTAGTAACGGATGATGCTTTTCACATACGGCCGTACGTGCGTGCACCGCTTCCTCGCAAGTCGACATCGACATCACCGCCCGCTCCCTGCTCTCATCTCATCTTATCTCATTACCCGCCCCGTATCGACATGGTGCCATCCTAAGGTCGCTTCCAGGAACGCCCTCACTGTTCTCACCCCTCCTCATCGTCCGCGACCTCGTCGCCGCCGCCGTCCTCTTCTTTTCCTGCCTGCCAGTGCGTCCGACCGATGCATGCGGATCTGGACGCTCACTCACACAACTTTCCTATCTTGCCATCTCGTATTATCGACTTCGCCTGCCTCTCGCGCTCCTCCAACTCCCCCTCTCCCTCGCGCTCTCTCACTCTCTTCCTGCCTTGGGTACTTGTACTTCTCACTTTACCATGGCTCTGGGAAACTCGCCCCGTCTCACCACAGTCAACACAGTCAACACAGTCAACACAGTCAACACAGTCACCGCACCCCTCCACCATTTGTTTACCAGCCGTGCCACCTGAGCCCGCCGGTCCTCTCCCACCAACTGTCTCGCCTCTCGCTTCTTACCGTTTGACAACTTCGCTCTTGGTGCAACTCTGCCAAACTTGACCCGTCACAGTCTCGCCTTCATCCTGTCGTCTACTGAGGTACTTTACTTATCCATCCCCCGGGCGGACGGGTACGCAGTCCTACCAGATGCCTGGTCGGCTTGCCTAGGGCTGTCTCTTCTTATGCAAGTCATCCGGGCAAGGGGGCGTGGTTGAGACTTGGATCGGTACCTTGCGTCGTCATTGCTTTGCCTTCGGACCCCCCATGTTGCAGATTCGAATTGCCCAGCACAATTCGTACCGACAATTTGTTTCGCTTCCTGGGTTACGAGACCATGTTCCTTCGGCCCACATCCTTGTTGGACCTTACGAGGAAGCCCATAGCCTTCTATTTCCTGCCCCGAGACCGCATCGATATACCCCTCAAGCGCTGCTGCTGCCCAGTTGGCCGCTTGTACTCCGGTTGTTCGTATTTGCAAATAGCCTCTGGGTCAATGCAGTAGATCATGCCCTATCGAGCACCTGTCGTTCACTCAAAGCAAGAAATACGAAGAAGAAGAAGGAGGAGGAGGAGAAGGAGGGAAAAGAAGCATGCCTCTCGTTAGCTGCATGGTCGGATGTCGGCGGGCGTTGTCTAGCATCCAATCTTCTTGCCGCTCGCTCGTCGGCGCGCAACCATCTCCAGGTTTTGGGACACTCATGTGTGAGGGACTGGCACGAGGAAACCCTCGTCTAACTTGACAAGTTCATACACACCGGTATTGTCTACGAAGCAGACCTCGCGCCCTGCCTCGCGGGCCCTTTTGGCACTGGCCAGGTGGTGGTCGCTTCGCTTCTCCTTCGTTGCCCTCAACCCAATGTCTGCTGCCATCATCCAACTGCCGTGCAACACACATCTGCCTCTTCTTCGGCAAGCGGCAACGCTACCTACCGGTCGTTCTTGACGGACAGACACACCGCCATGGGGTGCGAGGTGCACCTAGAGGCTAGAGCTTGGGAGGCCCCAAGAAGCAGCTTCGTGTAACACCATTTTTATCCCATGCGAGCGACTCTCCGTCTCTGCCCCAACCCTTGCTCAGCTACGGTTGCGTTCAGCTTGCCCCCCTCTCCCTCGGTACCAAAATACGCCGCCATGGTTTTGCATGCGGATAACCGCTGCTGCCGGAGTACTTACATCCTCGCTAATCTGCTCCTAGTACGGGGGTTTGTGGTCGGCAATACAGCCACCCGCATCACCGAAACCGCATCATGGTATCGTACCAATGCCGCTCCTCAAGCTTTCCTTGGCACTCCTCTCGAGTTGTCCCGTGTCCGTTGTCATCAGACTTTTGGCGATGCGGATGAGCGCGTTGCGCCCGCTTAAATCTGGGGCGCACGACCGAGTTCCCGTTGCGTCATACTAGGCTCGACTAGAGGCCCATTCCTTTCTTTTTCCTTCCTTAAACTGTTAATTTCGCTGTTATTATTGGTGTTGCTGTTGCTCTCTGTCCATTGCCAGTTGTCCCTTGCACAAGGACGCATGTTACTACCATATGAACACGCAGCTTAGCGGTCATAATCTGTCAATGCGTGCACATCAGACCGGTCGCCCCGATGGCGGCACAAGTTGGCGGACGACGGCGACTTGTCTCAAGACGACAGACAGCCCGTGGCCGATCCAAGCAAGTAGTGGCTCAGCGGCTCAAAACACCTACTCGGCTCAAATACTTCATGCGCGCTCGGCAAAAGACGTTATACGGCGTATGCCCTGGGCTATCTATCCGTGCGACGTTGGCACGAAACTTCAGCCAATCTGTTCCTTTACCACGACCCGATGCTCTGGACACTGACTCCGTGGATCGAAGACAGCACGCACAAAGGACCTGTCTCAATCACCCGCGCCCGGCTGCTGGATCTTGGGGAGAAGCAGGGTTGGGAAGGATCATACTACATGATAGGTCGTGCTGCCACCCGTCGAGCGAGGCACATCTTGCAACACGCCTCTAGTCATGAGAAAGGCCACAGGCCAACGGACTGTGGCTGTCGCCTCCCCCGCGACACGGCGCCGGGTGAGAGGTTTGATGACAACGAGACCAAGTGCGCTGTTGTTCTCTCCAAGAACCGTCGTTCTGAATGAGCGTAACCGGCCCGTTCGCGGTGGGTTCATGGTCAGACGAATAGCCTCTGCTTCACTACTCTGATGCGCCGAGATACCGTGCCAAGATATTCATTTGCTCACAGCATATGCGATGTACAGAAACGGCCCGCTGGTTTCCAACCAAATGTCCAGTCGCTATCGTAGCCAGCTACTGTTTCCAATATTTTACGTATTGGCTCTAAAGCCCCGCCAAGGTCATCGAGCTTTGCGCTCGAGACACGTTGGTTATTCATCATCCGCTGGGCTGCGTCCGCCACTGGGACTCGCGGTGATACACTGGGTACCGGGGACGTCGTAGCGGTCTCCATGTTCGTGACACGGCAGCGTGTGGCACGCAAAATGACACTCGTCGCACCATATGATTCCGTGAGGGCTCTGTGGGAAGCCGCCAACATACCTCATCTCGGGGCTTCCCTCGATCCTGCAGCAAGGCGTGTCCAGCCAACCGACGAATCAGCAACAGGCAAAAAGGTATATGGGCGGCAACCATGTAAACGGCACGCAGAAAGTCGCAGAGTCCCGAGCCTCGTCCCCCAACCCGGCCCAGGCAGTGTGACACCGACCGATGGCCTCTCTCTTTTTTTATCTTTCTTATTTTTTTCCGTCTTGCCGAAACAACCTTGTGCAGAACGCTGAACCTATCATGGTGTTTCACGCTCATGTCCCAGTATGCCAAGCATAGGCCCTTCCAAATAACCTGGGATTGGGGGGTTATCGGAATAAGAAACAAGAGCGTTTCGTGGCGCTGGGCGGTACGGGGACTAACATGGGTTTTAGGTGAGGGGAGGGAAGCTCTGGGCTATTAATCGAACATGGAGCCTCCGGCATAAATCTCGCGCGCGCGCGCGCGAGAGAGAGAGAGAGAGAGAGAGAGAGAGAGAGAGAGAGAGAGAGAGAGAGAGAGAGAGAGAGAGAGAGAGAGAGAGAGAGAGAGAGAGAGAGAGAGAGAGAGAGAGAGAGAGAGAGAGAGAGAGAGAGAGAGAGCCTGACCTGGGTATTGACCACCACTCATTTGTGGCAACGCTGCAAGTCAAAGGCATCTGTTTCCCGAAGAGCCTTGATCTACCGTGCCAACCGGCCACCGACTATGTTGGGCGCAATCATATTCTTGCGAACTTGAGGTTCCGGCGACGAGGCACCTACCTACCCGGCCTACTGACACGGGTCAGGGTGCCACGGGCAGCCGCAGCGCTCGCACGGAATGACATATTGAACTGAACGCAGTTAGCTACGGATGGTGCGACTGATTGCGATATCTTGAACGACATGGGACCGGCCTGTTGTGATCCCAGATCTTACGGGATCCCGGCCATCAGCGCAGTCCTTGTGTGCACATTGTCCATACCTGGCTCGCGAATCGAAAGGCTTGGCTCGACCCATGGAGGTGCCGCTCGCAATCTCAACCGGTGTTCCCCCTCCCTCCGGGGTGACTTCCTCATCACCCACTCTTGCAATTGGTGCCAGAAAGCTCATTAACCTCACCGGTTCACGTTTGATTTGCAACCACGTGGGCAGAGTAATGATCGCCCGGGCTAGCCGCAAAGGTCAGTTTTGGATTCCCCTCCCCCCTGACGCGCCTCGCCCTTTCGTTGCTACTCTCGAGGGTGTATCCCAGGGCTGAGCTCGCGGAGGGCTCGGTGGCCTGTTTTGTTCTTGGCACACCTATTGCCGGACCCGTTCGGATGAACAGAACGATGTGCTCGGTTTCGAAGTTGCGAAGGAGGGCGGGCGGATCTTGTTTCGGGGGGGAGAGGTGAGGGGGCAGACACCGCTCTAGAGATCGACTTCAAGCATATCATTGTCTTACAGCTGCCCCCAGATTCGATCTGCCCAGGACGTGTGTATGTATAGGCTATAGAGCTGGGAGGGCTAGGGTTCTGGGGGAAGAGGGGAGAAAATCTCCCAGCTCACCACCGTTGCACTCGAGGTGGGTAAGCAGAGACTCACTGGCTTCGGTGCAAGAGCTGATACTCTTCGCATCAAGGCCATCCCCTAAATGCTAAGTGCACATGCACGTCTCCGTACACCGACAAGAGCTGTGGCAGAGAGAATGAGAGAGAGAAAATGGTGGGATAGCTGCATCGTCTTGAGCAACGAGCAGCCATCAGATGATCCCAACTATACGAATACCCACCGCTTCACTTCCCGACGATGGGGAACAGACGGGCAGCGCCACGGGGAAGGATCCGCATGATCCTTGGACAGATATCCCGCCACAGCCAGCCTGCGAGGCGCGTCGCCCTCCAGATAGATGTCTGCCTCGTCGCCGACCAAATCATCCCCCCCTCCCTTCCCGCTCGTCCCTCAGCCCTCATCGACATACCACGGTGAGGCGCAACCTGAGCTCGGCATCTTCCACGCTGAGCCCCTCTCCCTCCTCCAGCTGAGTCCCGGGGAAGAGGGGGACGATGACACCTAACGGGGGACCGTGTACACCGAGATCGACACGTTCTTACCAACTTCGACATGTCTTACGAACAGAGGCCGAGCGGCCCTGGGAGTTGATTCGCGCCTCACTGCTTTTTCTTAGTTTCCTTCACTGGGGACATGTGGAACACCCTTCGGTGGGAGAACTAACTCTGCGTAGCGAACGGACCGGTCCCAGGCAGTCGGCTGAGACCAGACGGTCGAGGGGATATTCTCTAAAGGGAAGATACGAGTCTGACGATACCCTTGCATGGCCCTGCCACTCAATCCAAAACCGCACGACCTTTCGCGGCTCACAACCGCGTCTCGTACCGCTTATCCACGCGAGTGTAGTACTGTTCACCGCCGCGCAAAACGTCTCTTTTCCCTTCTCTTCCTTTTTTTTCTATCGGTGGACAGAGGAAACGGCATGGCCAACAGTGGCTGGCACTCCTCGCCCGCGGCGCGCTGCCACCCAATCTCTGGGCCAGACATGCCATCAAAAAAAACCAAAATGAAACCCCCTCCCCCCATGCAGGTCTCGCTCGTGAAGGTCCTCCATTGGCCCAGCCCCTCGTTGTCATCCAAGATGTAAGCCCCGAAGGGGGAAGGAGGACCGAGGCGTCTGCTGTGCGTTCGCGGTGACAGTTAAATACGCTCTCCTTCCCCGCCCCTGGTTTCTTCTTCACGCTGTCCGTCTTTTCTTTCCTACGGATACGCCCGAGAATTGTCCTAAACAAGGGGGTAGATCCAAGACAACTCTCAGATCGTGGTTTGTTTTTGTATAACTCGGGGGCCAGAGAGGGGCAGATAGGGGCGTATTAGGAGCTGGAGGATGGTGCTGCAGCACCCCCTTCTGGCAGTACCCTCGCGCCTCTTGCGTGTTTTGGGGCTTCCATTTGGCGAAGCAATCTCCAATATCGAATAGCGGTGCCTGGCTGTTTGCAGGTGGAGGCGAGGCGCTCAATACCTGTCGCCACCACGTCAGTCTTGTGGTGGCATGCAATCAGGCCATGCGCAGTTGCGCCGACAATGATATTGATGTAAATTAAGTGCTTAGTTAGCATATCGTATCCTCCGCTATAGGAAAGAATTAACGACGCTCTATCGATGAAACTTCGTCGTGATCCCCAATGATGAATGTAGCCAGCACTCAATGCTCTTCCTCTTGCGTCTCATGGCGACAGACGATCTGTCCCTGTGATGTCAATCTTTTTCTGGTCCCCCTATGTTCTCCAGCCGATCCGATCGCCTCGGTTAGCGGGGGGGCGGTGTCTGAGGGGTATACTTGCCAGTCTATATCGCGTCGACGGGCGGTCGCCTCGTTCATCTGGTGCCTTTCGAGGCGCCGGACAGAGAAGCTTCCCGGACCACGAGAACAAGAGCCATTCAGGATCACTTAGTCTAAGACACCGCATGATTAGATAGCCGAGTTGGGATATTGTTTTGTTCAAGGGGGGGGGGGGGGGGCGAAAGAGCTCGAGTTCTGTCCCACGGTGAGGCCCTCGGTCAAGCTTGGCCTAGGGACGAAATTCGCCGCTGGAGATATCGGCAGTATTCGTAATCTCCCAGCCCGGCTGTGCTTCCCCTCGCGTCTTCCTTCTTTAATCCGGACGCTGGACTCGGTGAGCGGGCGGGTCGCGAGGTTACAGTGTGAGGTTGGTTTCGTCGTCAGGCTCGATCGGTGGCGCGCTCTGGGCAGACCCCCCTTCGAGGCGACGAGTCGTGTAGGCTTCTGTGGTCTCGGGTGGCCGGACATGTGTCGTCGGGTACCTCGATGATGGGCTTAGGAGGCGGTTTGAGCGTATTGAGCCTCTTGTCTCGCGGCAGCGGAGCCGTGAGTCTTGTGTTGGATCACTCCGTGTCCGTCCGAGCCCGGCGTCGATGAGCTATGAAGGCTACTCTATGAGACGCAGATTTGATGCTATTCTACCTAGCCTAGTGACTGTTGTCCTCGGCGCCATGAAACTTGAAGTTTATTACGCTAAAGCGACTTTTTGATAGTTTACGTGTATATGGAGCAGGTAACATTGGCTATAAACGAGCATTCCATAATCACGTTTTGGGACTCTTTTGCATTCTTGCTGTTGCTGTTGCTGTTGCTGTATAAGTGTCTGTTGGGTTAGCTACATTATATGTAGCTAGAGATAGCAACTGCCCTTGATTTGTCATGTTTGGTATCCGCCTACAAGAACAGGATTGCCTGATATGTTGTTTATAGATGCTAGTGCAAAACGATCGTGCTCATGGCCTCTAACGTGACCACGATATTGTATATCCAGTCTACCTCTATCGATATAACCCAAGTTTCACTGCCGTAGACTCGAGAGCTATGAAGCATCGTGCCCAGTTAATAGTTCTCATCGGACCCATGATCTCCTCAATGTCCTTGACACCCTTTCTATAGTCTTAATACCTTCGTAGGAGGATACGTGTTCTGCCACCACGCAGCGGCACGCTCATTCACAGCTCCTCCTTGACAACCCTTTGAGTGCGGTCGTGGCTCTTAGTTTTGAAACCATCACCGGGCGTCGCGATTCTCCTCAGGCGGAAGACCTTGGCCGCGTGGCTAGGAACTTTGGTCTTTAACACGCCCTTGGCCTCCACCTCGCCAATCTTCCTGCCAAAAAGTCTCGGGTCCTCCTTCTCCAAGCCAACGGCGTAAGGGATCTCCGTGGCATTGTACCAGTTAACCTTCTGGAGAATCTTGACCCTCGATTCGTGACTGTCAGCGGCGAACAGCGACTCGGCCGTCTCGGTCGACATCCTGTCGGCCCAGAGGTCGTGGACAGCCCACTTGGACTTGACCTGCGGCGCCGCGCCGCCCGGGCCGTCCGACACGAAGATCTCGGCCAGCGACGACTCCATCTCGACTTCGGCGCCCGCCGCGTTGAGGAAGATGACGGCCTGGTCGCCGTTCTCCAATCTTCCGCTCCACACCTGCGTCTCCGCGACGCCGTACTCGTCCGGCGTCAACCCCCCGCCGACGTTCCTTCGCACCCGCAGCACGCTGCGGCCGTGCGGGTCCTGGTTGAGGGCGATGATGGCCGGGTTGTTGACAATGCTCAATGCCTCGGCGGGCATGTCCCGCAGGTCGTTGCCGAGCATCAGCGGGGACTTTAGGGCGGCCCAGAGGGCGAAGTGCGCCTTGTACTCCTCGTCCGTCATACCGCCCTGGCCGACCTCGAGCATGTCAAGGTCGTTCCAACCGCCGGGGATGCTGCGGTCAGCGAAGGCGGCGACACGGTTAAGGATGAAGAGCACGGAGCAGTGGGTTCCTGGGGCGACGCAGAAAGGGTCCGCCGCAGTGGTGCAGCTGCACAGGTCATCGGGGCGGGTGAAGGAGTCGTAGATGTCGCCCGACATACGCCAGGCGTGGGCGATGGACATACCCCACTAGATTTGTCAGTTCAGGCGTCCCATGGTAGATTTATGGGAGACGGAGACGGGAAGTCGCGTACTGTGTGGACGTAGTCTTCACCCCAATTGCAGAGGTTGAGGGCGATGGGCCGCCCCGTCGCGTTCAACGCGTCGGCCATGACCTTGAACCGGTCAAAGGAGACCTTCGGCGTGCCCATTCTTCCCATATGGTAACAATTATCATACTTGAGAAAATCTACGCCCCAAGATGCGAAGTTCTCGGCGTCCTCCTTTTCGTGATCGAGCGAGCCGGCTGAGTGGGGGGTGTCAGCACTTCCTTGTCTTTCTGCTCGTTGTGAGGGCAAACACCGAGGATCGAATGTCTACCGGGATAACTCACCGAATCTCGCGCACGTCATCTCGCCGGCACTGGAGTACATCCCGTACTTGAGTCCCTGAGCATGCAACTGGTCCGAGACGTGCTTAAGACCGTTGGGAAATTTTGCAACGTTCGGATGGATCTTGCCCTGGGCATCGCGGCCGTTCTCGTCCTGCCAGCAGTCGTCCAGCACGACATGGTCGTACCCCAGGTCGCGCAGACCCAGGCTGATGACGCGCTCCGAGGTGCTGAGGATGAGATCCTCCGAGACGTCGCACGCGAAGGCGTTCCAGTTGTTCTTGCTCACGTCAGTCGGCAGAACTTGAAAGTCTGACACAGAGCTTGATATCTACGGAGAAACTGCCATAACTTACCCAGCCCATTGGGGGCGTGATGGCCAAGCCGTTGTTGAGAGCCGCCACCCGCCCTGCGGATGCGATTGCGGCCACAAGGCCCAGTGATCTGTAAACCATTTTGGATTTCTTTTTCCCAGTTGCAGGAACAGCAATGAGTCCCGTTTCAGTCTTTGACAACTAGACAAGAAATCAATGCCGCTGGGACCCGACTCTTATACCGTCCAGGGCAACAAGAAAAAGTGGTATAACAGATCCTCTCAGCCCCTCAACACGACTTTCCAGGATTCCTGCAAACATCGTGTCTTCTCACCCACTTCAGCTAAGTAACACAATGCCCGTTGCCAAGTGAGGGGCAGAGGGGCGGAATCAGACGGTGAGGTCGCATGACAGGGGGCGGAAAAGTCGTACAGTTTTCCGCCGCCCTTCTCCGCATCAAACTAACCGACTCATGCAGTCGCATCCGTAGTCAACCAGTTGAACGAACACTAGACTCGAAATCTCACAATGGCACAATAACTACGAAGAAAAGACATTGCTGGACTTGATCATGCCGAGAGGAAACCCGTTGCTGGGAAGGCAAAACCCCATATTTTGTACTTTGACAGGAAATCGTTGACTAGCCGGTATAATTCTCGGAACAGGATCTGACTGGCAATCCACGTCACGAAGATAAACCGCTTCCATCCAGCTCTGTGTGGTCTCTGCCGGCCGGGCAAACTTATCACATGCAAGAGAAGAAACTTGTCAGCCTCTTGAACCCACTCAGTTCGACCGGGGTTTGCCTCATCCAACGGGCCAAGAGCCCAGATTTGGTTCCCCCAGCTTTCACCACACAACCCGCCACACCCACCCCCTCACCGGAGCCCCTCCGTTGCCCACAAGGACTCCATCTCGTCACCATCCCCGTGCCGGCCAATTATGGCCTCCTTCTCCTCCATGGGCTCCGTAAATTCAACCAAGAACCGCAGCATCCAGCGGTCCAGCACAAAGCTTGTGTCGATGCTGGTCCGCGCCGTCTTGTGGAAAGCCCTTAGTCGGCTGATGGCTCGGTCAACCGTCGGCCAGTAACAGCGCAGCTGCAGAAGCATCTCAAAGTTCCTCTCGAGACGCCGTCTCGCCAAGCCAATATCTGCCTCGTCGCCGCTGAACAAGAGCGTGTGGATCTGCACCGTCGACGCAATGACCAACACGTGTGCCGCCATCGTGTACCTTACGTCCGCCCCCGCGGTCGTCTGCGTACGGTAGACCATATCGCACAGCCTGGCCGCGTGCTCCTTGCATCGGGTCGCGTACGTGTCCCGACGGGCGACGGACACCGACGCCGTGGGGTTGATGGCCGTGGTCGTGCCCGCGCCGTACAAGAACTGGTAGTACAGGAGCTGGCCAAAGTGGTAATACCCCAGGTACACAGCCGCGAATGTCCTGCCGAGGCCGCGGGCGGCGAACCACGCAAAGTTCTCGGGGGTATCGCGCATGTTCTCCGGCAGCGCGTCGAGCCAGCCCTCCATCCTCGCGTGGAGCGCGTCGACGCCGTGCCCGAGGGCGTCCCAGTCCGGGTTCTCGGCCACACATCGCTGGTTAAAGTCGTTGATGTCAAGCAGGATCCGATTGAGCCGCACCATCTGCGAGAGGTGTTGCGAGCTCTGGCTCGACAACGTCGCACCCGCATCCGCGGTGGTCCGGGATGCGCCGCTGCGGTCCAACGAGAGGAACGGTAGATCGTCCATGGGCAGGGGGATGTCAGATCTTGCCGGCAGCAGCTTGGGCAGCTTCACCGCGGTGGACGACCAGACGTCAATCATGCAGAGCGACCACCAGACTGGGGAAGGGACCTGTTAGTTTGGTTCATGTGCCTTGCAGATGCAAGCTTTGCAGATGCTAAACTTGGCACAGCGGAAGAAGGTGACCCAGGCTTACCCCGTATGTTGATCTCCCGTTCCAGCAGCGTGGTCGCTGGCCTATTGGGGAGATCCAGCAGTAAAGCCGCTCTACATGCGACGCCGTAATATATGTTCTCTGCTTCCCCGTTGCCGTCGGCAGTCCAGGCGGCTCCTATCAACACGCACAGCTGTATCGTAGTCAGTGACACGTCGCGGAGGTTCAGGAAACCCTCGGCTGCTTGTAAGTACCCCTGTGCTCGGTCTCGGGGGTCAACGTCTGCCAAAGCTGGGTCTGTAGAGAACCTAGAGTTGAGTGAGCCGGTGGTCTTTCTCAAAAAAGAATACCCACCAACCTTGGCAGCATTGTAGGAAGACACACCTAGCAGATAGGGCACAAATGCCATATAGAATCCCGTGTGGGACTCGGTCGCCGAGTGCATCCTCGATGAAGCTTGGCCGATGGAAGAGGGAGTGGAACTGGTCATGGATGTAGTCGAAGTAGAGTCTCACCAGGTCCAGACGGACCGGCAGGCTAGGTAGCGCGGCATGCGGAGTGGTCTCACATCGGCCACACCAGCTACCAGTGTGACAGCCGGGCGATAACGCACTCGCGTGTCCATGATGCAATGGCGGCCTCCCTAATCGAATTTGCTCTTCCTGGCGCTGTTTACGTTGATTCTCTCGCTGTTCATAATAGCCGCCTTCCGGGGCCTCTGGTTGCATTTGATTCCTCTCTCGCTACAATATACGCAGTCGACAAGGCCGTCCTGGATTTGGCATTTGCGCCGGCGGGCCCTGCAAAGAATCGTGTCAGGTTACAGGATGACTCGCAACGCCAGCGGGAGAAAAAAACCAGAAAGGGAAAAGAGGCAATGTACCGGCACGCAGCGCAAGCCGAGGGTTTCCGCATGCCAAGGGGGATTCGTCAGATGTCTCTCGGACTGAGGACCGAGAGGCGCTTTAGTCTGTGCAAATAGAGAAAAACGTAGGAACGGATGGGGGGCCAGTTGCAAACCGTACTGCAACAAAGAAGAAAGACAGACACCAAAAAGAACTAGGTCATCCCACTGGCACAGACGAGAGGGCCAGGGGTTGGGTGAGTGTATTTCACCACGCCGTGGTTGCCCGGCTCAGTTGGCTTCGACCAGCCACACGGGCCCTCGCCTGGCCGGCCGTCGAAGACGGATCGGGAAAAGGCGGCGGAAAGGAGGCGGAATACTGCCCTTGATCCTGGCTTTCCCCCGTCTGCACTGTGACACCCACAATCGTTGGACGAATGACAGCGTCTCATGGGTCCCCCGGAAGTCTCGACCGATCATCGTCCCAAGACTTGGAGATTTCCCCATGGGACCCTCACAACGTTTGTCTGACTTGATGCGCGTCCGGCGTTGGTTCTCAAAACGTGTCGTTGCTGCAATGTCATGTTTGCCCCCGGCCCCCCCGGGCTACCAATGATGGTATAATGGGTTCTCCGCTTTGCCTCGGTAAGTCGTACCGGAAGAATGGTTTGTTCTCTTTGAGGTTCTCGTCAGGTTACAGGGGTGGTGAACCGCTCTACCCCCGCCTTCGCCTTTCTATAAAGTCGGCCTCATGCCCCATTGTTGCCCAGGAAATATGGGAATAACCTCGCCGGTAGTCGTTTGCTCCTTTTGGCCATATCCTTCCAGAGACTTTCTTCACCATGGCGCAAGACAAGGCCGTGGGCGTGGAGGCGGTTCCAACCGTCAGCCACCACAATGAACAAGGCGAGCCCATCACAGCCATGCAGAACGAGCGCCAGATGAGCGTCCGAGACTCCTTCCGTTTCTGGCCCAAGGCGATCCTCTTCTCGTTCATCATCTCCCTCGCCATCATTATGGAGGTACGGTGCCTCCCGCCTCTCTGATCCCGTCATCCAATGGCGCTGACTGACTCCCAGGGTTACGACACCAACTTGATGAGCAACTTCTTCGTCTTCCCGGCCTTCATGAAGAAATACGGCGACGAGGTCGATGCGGAGGGAAACTCGCTGGTATCCGCCCGCTGGCAAACCATCATCAACAACGGTACCCAGGTCGGTTCCATCATTGGCCTCATCGTCAATGGGTTCATTACCGAATGGATCGGCTACAAGAAGACTATGGTTGTCTCCATGATCGCCATGATCGGCGCCGTCTTCATCCCCTTCTTCTCCAACGGCCTACCCATGTTTCTGGCCGGGAGTCTCATCCAGGTACGTCTACTATCCTTAGTGTTCGTCCCCATCGTGTCTAGCAAATCTCTCCTATTCCCACATTCTTATCAAAACTACCCGTCTCATCTACTAAACCATGTTCAGGGGATCCCATGGGGAATATTTCAGACCCTTGCCGTCACCTACGCGGCTGACATCTGTCCCATGTCTTTGAGAGGCTACATGACCTCATGGGTGTGAGTAGACTTGCGCGATGCAGAGCCCCCAGCAGCTGACTTTCACAGCAACATGTGTTGGGTTATTGGTCAGCTTATCAGCAGTGGAATGCTTCGTGGGCTGCTGAGACTTGACAGTGAATGGGGATACCGTATCCGTGAGTAAAACCCTGTGATAATGTCACGAAGACCTTCGTCGTGTTGAGGCTCGGGAGAGTCATGTGATATATCGCATGATAGCATACATATGGGGGCAGACTGGTATGTCTATAGGCCCATGAGTACGATGTCACGTGATGTAACATATGATGACCTACATCGAGAGTGTCTTAATGCGTGCCAAATTCTAACATCTTACTTAGCCTTCGCTATTCAATGGGTCTGGCCAATTCCGATAATCATCGGCACGCTCTTGGCCCCCGAGAGTCCCTGGTGGCTCGTCCGCCAAAACCGCCTCGAGGAGGCCAAGGAATCCGTTCGTAGCCTGACCTCTCCGAAGGCCGGCATCGAGTTCGACCTCGACGCCCATATCGAGATGATGCGTGTGACGAACCAGTTCGAGATCGAGGTTAGCTCCGGCGCGCACTACTGGGACTGCTTCCGCGGCGTCGATCTCCGCCGCACCGAGATCGCCTGCATGGTCTGGATGACGCAGTCTTTCTGCGGGGTCCCTTTCATGGGCTACGGAACCCAGTTTATGATTAACGCGGGCCTCAGCCCCGCGAACGGCTTCACTATGAGTCTAGTGCAGAACTGCATCGGCCTCATCGGCTGCATCATTGCCTGGTACATCATGACGCACGTCGGCCGTCGCACGCTGTACCTGGCCGGCCTGTCGACCATGTTTGTGGTCCTGGTTGTCATCGGCTGCATTGGAATTCCCCAAGATGAGGCCGGCCTTCCTGCGAGGTCTTGGGCCGTAGGAGCCCTCATCATCGTCATGCTGTTCGCGTTCCAGCTCAGCGTCGGTCCTGCTTGCTACACCCTCGTCGCGGAGATGCCGTCTACTCGCCTTCGTGTGAAGACCGTTGCTCTCTCTCGCGCGTTCTACAACTCGGGGGGCTTCATCGTCAACGCGATCCAGCCCAGGATTGTTGGCAAGAATGACTGGAACTGGGGCGCAAGAGGTGGCTTCTTCTGGGCCGGAATCACGGTGCTGTTCCTAGTTTGGACCTTCTTCCGCTTGCCGGAGCCTTTCGGTCTTACATACTCGGAGCTCGACTTGCTGTTTGAGCACGGCGTTGGTGCTCGCCACTTCTCGCAAGAGGCCGCCGACTCCCTGCGTCCGCAGCTAGAGGAGGTAGCCAACCGCCAAGAGAAGATTACCGCTGTCGTGAGCCACCATGAGGCTTGAGGCGGCGCATGACCGTTGTAAAATCTGGCAGGCCTGCTGGCTCCCAGTTTCAAACGGCATATGCTCCATTCCGGCTCTTGTTACATTTAAAATGACGTTACGAAACAACATTAAATCATCTAATATAATCCCTAACTTGTCATGAAAATCAGTCGTCACTTGTGTCACAATCCGACTAATATAAAGCAATATACCATATACCCTATCATGCCAACATACAGTTATACTGACATATGGGGCGAATCGATGCAGAGGTGCCAGTGAACAAGGGGCACATGCTATGGTGTTGACAGCCACACCGCACACTATCAATAACATCACCACTCGTCGCACCAAGTGACCAGCTATTGAGTATTACGATGTACAGAACGCTTACTGCCATTACTTTGTTCTCACGTGCTTATGTACAGAGTAAAAACCCTCGCTCTGCAAGGGTTTGGGATAATTGTCATCTGTACAAGTGTTCGTCATCTACGGTGCCAGGCTGATGCAGCCGTCAAAACTGTCCTCCTGGAAGATACCGCTGTAGAAAACAGCCTCGTCGATATCCAAGGGCTGGAAGCCGTTCTTGGTTATATCACCCACGGCGCCGAAGGGCTTCTTCAGAAGACCGAAATGGTACATTCCTTGGCCGACGATGATGTTGGGTTGAGCGGCGCCCTGTGCCTCCAAATCATTGTCATCAGTAGAGTAGAAGACCTGGACTGTGCTGGCGAAGGTATCAATGTCAGTGTCATGAGGTGGAAACTCGTTGTGAGGTTAGAAGCCTTACTTTGTGTTGAAGTTCATGGTGATGGCAAAGTTGTGGATGGTATATTCAGTGAAGGGGACGCTGAAAAGGACGGGGGGCACCGGCTTGGTGTTGACGTTGCCGAACAGCGTCAGGGTATCCGGGCCTACGTTGGCGACATCACCCAAGATGGTCCCGGTCTTAAGAACAATTTGGTTGGTCGTGAAGTCATTGCTCTCGAGGAACACCAGTTGGTATTCATGCGAGAGGTTAAGGGGTCGCTGCTCATCCTTCTGAATACTGAAATGGAGAGTCTTGATCCCGAGAGTGGATGCGTCTATTCCTACGTTGCTCGACGGAATCAGCTCGGTACGTCGGAAGCCCGTCTGGCCGTTGAAAACAGACTGATCACTGAAAGAAGGGGTCAGCCGGTTGAGAAACACGCGGAACTATGCAATCTCGACTTACTTGATGGCGACCGCGAGGGCGACATTCTCGTTGCCATCAAAGGGCGAACTAGCTCCGTCAGACACTTGGAGGACCCGGCTGAAGGTCAAGCCTGCGCCTATTACGGCTTGGGAATTGAATAGAGTATTGGTGACATCGAATTCTTCCACCTCAGTTCCGACTGGGACTCGACTGTCAAATTGTAGATTACATGACTGGGCAAATGCCCCCGCAACGAGCGAGAGAGTGAGGGACTTGGAGTACCGCATGATGGCAGCGTCAAAGTTGGAACAGCCTGGAGAAGGGAAAAGAGCGAAAACGAACGTGAATGGTCAAGAAATAAAGGCTGCGATTCAGGGACTTGGGGGCATGGATATGGCACTAATATAGAGTGAAAACACGACGGCATTGCTATCTTATATGTCTATTCCTAACCTCATGGTTGTCTCTAGGTTCCGGGGATATCATGGGATACACCGATCAACGGCGCCTCGTGTGCTCTTGGCAGCAGTCTGAGGCTGGTGCGTCGTTTCTTTTGGCTTCCGGGGGCGGGACGAGTCGTGAGTTGAGAGGAACCTCACGACCGGGCGACCTGGATTGGAAGGCCCGAACAGGAAGGGCACATAGACCAAAATTTTAACTAGTCCAGGTACTAGCTGTGGAAAGTAACCCTCGGACTGGGGTGTTCATGGATCCCGGCTCTGGGTTGACGTGAAATACAACGGGCCAACGGGTGACCATGAAGGGGCCTGACACAGGGGAGTGGAAGTAAGGTAGATAGATCAAACGGCGTTGTCTCAGTGACGGATGACGATAGATGCGCCGGTACTGACCGAAGCGGGTGTGGAACACGACGAGTTCAGATGATTTTAAAGGAGGGGGAGCGGACAGAGGAGAACCGTGGAACAGAAATACGTTGGGTGAGGGGGGTCCTTGCGGCAGCGTGGTTGGTGCCATGGTCTCCATCTGTCTGTCAAGATAGCAGAGTGCATCCCAAGTTGTCACCGGCTTCATCTCATGCCGCGGGTTCATTGCCCTGCGCAAGCCAACGGGTTTGCGCATTGATGATGGGTTCCGGCAGCCGACTCGCTCCCCCGCTATTCAAACGTGGCGTTCTAGAAGGCGGCTAAGCCTGGAGATGCAGCCTTTGAAGTTGGACCAAGCCGTTGGACCTATTGCGGCGGTGGGTGATCCGGAGACGATACACATGGGGCGGGAACTCCAACACACATCAAGTCCGGTGTTGGCAGAAAACTGTCGACAAGTGGCGTTCACTACCGACCTATTGGTTGCATAGATATGGGTATGTAGTAGGAACAGACGTTGCTGTCCTTCATGGCCGAGCCACAAGAGGTCAAAGTGGCTGGGGGAGGCAACAGCTCGGCGAAGTTTATGCTTGGTTACTACCGGTAGTCCGATAGAGGCTGATGTAACGCCCAAAAGTCTCTTTTTGCTCTGTTGACGTGAATCCCCAAACCTAATGGTGACGGGCTGAGAAGGTTATGAGCGTACGAGTGGAAGGTTTCGAAGGGGGGGGTTCCGGACGCCTCGATGGCATGACAGACGCCAGTCGCGGCCTGTGGTCAGGCCATGAACCAAGCGTCGGTGATGGTTGCGTCATGATGGCCGTCCCGTCCTCAGTGTCGAGTTGTTGTGATCAGAGGTCACACATGGCGTTGGATTTGACGATTTCTGAAGAGGGGGGAGGCGACAAGCAACTTGGGCCACCAGAAGCTTTGGCACTGTGTTTCTTGTCGCGTCTCGTCTCAAATTCTCTGATTCGAGAGCCTCGGCGCCGTGTTTGAAGTTAATATACTCGCACTGTGACGCTTAATCAATGTCTTCAGGTTCCTTATCGGCCCGTGTGGCGTCGCTATCGCTCCCTTATCGTTATCGGCCATCAGAAGTGGATCTCTGGTGATCTTTCCATCACTGCTTGTGTAGCTAACTTATGGCGGATTTTAGCGGCCTCGGTACCTTACCTACGGATACCTACAGTAGGCCATTGACGCTAAGCTGTCGGCGTCTGGATCCGGGGGAGTCGCGGTTCAACAACAACATCCGATGCACAAGGAACCTCCGACAACCCTCCGTCAACATCGCCAATTACTTCCTGTTGAATACGTCACTCTCCCTTGCTTGTGTCACACGCATCAATTATATTTCCCCTCGCACTCAATAACCATCAGCCGCATAGTTATCGCCCTCTTCGTTAAGCTTTCGAGCTTTGGGCCTCCCAAGCACCTTCTCTTCTGAGACGCGTCTGTCTGTTCAACGCCAAGTCTAGGCCTTGAACCTTCCGTCGCCTTGCCACAGCTTCAAACCAACATTCTTGGCCTCTCAGCCTCAACTCGACCTGTCAGACGATATCTCAGAGAATCATTGTGACATAGAACCTTTGTGTTTTATCTGGTCAGAATTGACTAACTACGAGCTGGTTGACCAGACAGACCCTGGCAGCGCGAACCCCGGTCTGCCACTTTCGGCCCACCGCGTCTGCGTCTGTCTCTACGCCTGCGTCTGGACCACCTCCAACCTCCTTCAACTACGTGTCGCAGACCGACAACCAAGATACAACACCAACCGTATGACTACCCATTTGCCAACCTCGAAAAACCCAGAAGCTGTCTGCGGCTAGCTCTCAGTGAAGCTCTGAAGGAAGTAGCTTGGCCCCGTCTCCCCGACCGTCTTCTCGATTGGGAAGCAAGGGCTGCGGTCGCAGACACCCGTCACCCTACGACCAAGGCGCTCGTGTAGAGGCGCATCGCGGCAAGAAGAGTCCCTTGAATTCTTGTCGTTGGCGAGGTCTAATCGCAGCCACTGCCCGTACGCTGATCCTCGCGTTTACAAACACGTCGGATTGCGGACCATTGCCAACACGCGCCTCGAAACGCACGGAGGGGAATCAGCGGTTGACAATCGACACTTCGCACGGAACCAGTCCAATGGGCCGAATTTAGGACGCGTCCAGAATGCCTACCACCCAGGTCACCCCCGCCGAGGATGCTCTTCTCCAAGCCATCGCCGAGTCTCTTCTCAAAGCCCGCAAGGTTGTCGTCATTACTGGCGCTGGCATCAGTACCAATTCTGGCATTCCCGTAAGCACTCGTGGTGTCGCCGCCCTTGGAACTCGTGTTAATGACGGTGCAGGACTTCCGCAGTGAAAACGGGCTCTACTCCTTGATCCAGGCTCAATTCGACGCCGCAAGCCGGGAGCATGTGTTGGAACCGAGATGCACTGCATCGCTCAATACGAACCGCGACGAGCGAGAACCACCCACAAAGCGGCGGAGGCTGTCTTTCGAGGACTCAGGTATCTGCCTTAGCGATGACTCTCAGGCTATCGAAGAACAAGACGCGTCCAGCTCCGAAGAGGCCAAGAGTCCTCGGCCGAATGCGCGAGACTCATTGATCTCCCACTCAATTGACGCCAGACCTGGCGGTCCGATCACGAGAGCGAGGTCAAGGGAATCAACGGTGGACGGCAATATCGCAAATGAGTCTAGTGTCACAAAAGATTCTGACAGCAGACGTATAGAAGTCAACACCAGGTCGACTCGGTCCACCAAGAGAGCCACGTCCCTGCCCCCTGTCAAGAGCCCCCAGAAAGGCCCATGTACAGCTTTGCATTCGAGTTTAATCGATGCGCAAAGCGGCTCATCTGAAGACGAAAGATCAGCCCGCCGGGGTCTGCGGAGGCGTGGCCATTCTGCAAGTCCGGACACTCGACCGAGAGCCAACGCTTATCAGGCGCGCTCTGCCGTGCTGCGAAAGAGGTCTTTGTTGACGTCTCCCATGGATACCGTACGGGCGGCTGAAAGCAACCATGCATCCACTTTCATACCAATCGAGCCAAGACGAACTCGTTCCAGGGCAGCGTTGCAGCCAGGAGAAATTCATCAGACGCCTGACCCATCCCCGAGGCCAATAGCACAGGCTGCAAGTCACGTCACGCCAAAGGCCACGAGGTTCCTCTTCAGTTCTTCGCCTCTATCATCACCACCTAGTATATTCCCGCAAACACCGACGCGCCGAAGAGATATCGCCTGTGTCTCACAACCAAATCTTGGGCAGCCAGGGCTGGCATTCAGCTCATCCCCGCTGTCGTCGCCTCCACCTGTCTTATTCGACCCCTTCGAGGAAGAGCCGTCGACAAGCGGACAAACCTCGAGTGTCGCGAGCAGCGCGGCGTCTTCCGAAACTGACGAAACCCCTCCATCATCTCATTTCAGCAAGTCAACATTACCCAACATCAAAGGCAGGGATTTATTCGACGCCTCGATCTGGGCCGATCCGCTGCGGACAGCAGTCTTCTACACATTTGCCACCACCCTTCGTCAAAAAGTGAAGGACGTTGCACCAACAGAATCACATCATTTCATTGGTCACCTCCGCAACCGTGGAAAATTGGTCCGCTGCTACACGCAAAACATTGACCAGATTGAAGAAAAGGTTGGCTTATCGACATCACTCCAGGAAGGCCCAGGGCACAGAGGCCGTTTTTCGCGAAAGTCTGTCGGGGCGGTGTTGGCTACGACAGCATCAGCGACCTCGACTGGCAGCGAAACTGCCTCAGCCGCACCAGAGTCGGAAGAGAAGAAAGAAGTTGACGAACCAGAGGGAGTTGGCAGTACTGAGGGGAATGAATTGGCCGACACCACCCCTTCGGTCGAGCCTCAAAGCCAACCGCGACTTGACCGAAAACCCAATGGTGTGGAGTGTGTCTTTCTGCATGGGTCTCTGGAATCTCTACGTTGCTTCCTCTGCGGAAAGATTTGCGACTGGGACGAAGATGGAAGAGCGTACGAAACCATGTCTGGCCGACAGCCCGAATGCCCATTCTGCGCCGGAGCGACCGCTGCAAGACAGGAAAGGGGCAAAAGAGCGCTGGGTGTGGGTAAATTGAGACCGGACATCGTGCTCTATGGCGAGGAACATCCCAGCGCTCACCTCATTTCTCCAATTGTCACACACGACCTGGGACTTTCGCCCGACCTTCTTCTCATCCTCGGCACCTCTCTGAGGGTTCACGGCCTCAAAGTTCTTGTTAGGGAATTCGCCAAGACCATTCACAGCAGAGGCGGTAAAGTGGTCTTTGTCAATTACACCAAGCCTCCCGAGAGTTCATGGGGAGAGATCATCGACTACTGGGTCCAGTGGGACTGCGACGCGTGGGTATCCAACTTGAGGGAAAGAATTCCTTTGCTTTGGCTGCCACCAGGCACAAAGCTGCCTAAGAAAAAGAAAGAAAGCAGCGACAAACCCAAGAAGCGGCAGGGTATCGCAGAGGAGGGGCCAAAACCGAGGTCGGAGTCATCGAAGTCGGGCGAGAACGCTCCAAAGACATCACAGCCGGAAGTGGCTATAAAGTCAGAGAAGTCTTCTGCTGTCGTAACTTCCGAGGCAGCAACACGAACTCCACTCCCCCAGGCAATGCCTGATCCAGACAAGGCAGACGAACCGGTCAAGATTGAACCCGAACACAGGCAACCCGAGAAGCAAGAAAGCGAGGCTCCCAAGGTTGCCGCACCCAAAGCGGCGCCGCGTCGACCGATGGCTGTTCGCGATGACACGACCAATGCGGCGTATGTCATGTTGAAGGTTATGGCGGAGCTCCGCCGAATTACTGGCAGTGCCTCGAGATCGCCATCTTCTCCTGTAAGCCGCAGGGTTGAAAAGTCAAAACCCAGGCGAGCCAGAAAATCTGCACCGGCTGCTCTTCCACAGCCATCTGATCCTAGCACTCCGCACGATGTCACGAATTTGAGGTTGGGGCCGAGCATGGCTCTAGTGAAACAAGAGTCTCAACAGCTACCATTCCGTGACGCGGATGGCGTTGCGAGAGACGTAACTATGTTGGGGACCGAAGAGAACTCGATCCTTGCGGCTGTCAAGCTGAATCCCCGGACCCGGAAACGGAAGACAATCGACGGTGAGGAGGTGTTTGTGCCGGGCCTGCCTCGGCCGGTTCATGCCGCCAAGGCTCTTCCCAGACCGAACCCGCAGAAGGTCAAGAAGCCTCCGATCAAGAACCGGACAGTCGTCGTCTCGCCCGTTTCACCCAAGATTCTTTCCGACATCAAGCGGGCATCAATGGACTCGCTCACGCTGGCACCTCTTAGAACGAAGGAGCAAGCTGCTGCAACGCCGGTCAAGCTGCAGCCCTTGGAGCCCGTTCATTCCCCCGCAGGCCCTCTTTCAGTCATGTCGCCCAACTCGCGGGCTCGCGCTGACCTGACGGTGACCAACCCGTTCTACCTGACAGATACCCTCTTGTATCAACTGTCACAGCCACCTGGGTGGACACAATCTCAGAACCTCAGGTTCGAGTTGCCGACCAGGAGGAATCAGACCAGAAAGGAGAGAGACGCGGCCACGGCGCTGCAGGGGCTGAAGAGGGGATAAATTGATGCACACGGCCTCAACGGCGCTGGGTATTTCTTGGATAGAGGCGGTGGAGGATAACCCGAAAGATGGAATGCAGCCCTCGGAGGCGCATTGTAGCCGCAACGAATAATGATTCCTCGCAAGACCCTGACCTGCGGTCGCATACCGTGACGCCTTGTCCTTCTGCCCCTGTGAGAACAACAGCAGAAAGCGAGACGGAAGCCCTGAATGGCTCTAGCCAGTGGGCTTCAACCCGTCCCCTACGAGAGCGCCCCCCTCTTGCTGTCCCCAAGCGCCTCCCCTTCCACTTACCTACCCACGGACCCAAGCATTCCAACCAGGTAAGCTGTGGACACCCCGGTGTCACTGTCATGGAGAGTTAACTGCCAGCATGGCAGGACCACGTAGAGGACACAGCCGGGCTGAGCGTCAGCTTCAAAACACGTCAACACAGCATGCAGCTCGGGCGTCGTTTATTCTTCCTTAACCTCCATTTATTTTGTTATTTCTCCAGCGAGAAAAGTATTGTTTGTCTTTTCAAGGCGGTCTTGCAGTCAGACTGGCCGTCGCAAGGTGTCTCGTTGCCGATGCCTCGGCACATTATGGATAGGGCGCGGGCGAGCACGCCGGGAAACAACAGTCGCTGACGAGCGCCCGGACTACAAGGACGGCCGCGTGGTTGAAAGCTTTTTTCACAAGATATACGGGCGATAGCGTCCGTGAAACCAAAGTTGCGGCGAGCGACTACCTGGGCTTTGGTCGAGGCGCGGGCTGACACATCTCAGCCTTGAGGCCGTGTCCTGTACATGCATGCAGAGCGAGTTATTTCGAAACGCAGACACTACTCAAGGCGTAGTAAGTGCGCATGGCGTTTGCTCATGACTGAAGCATACGGGCAGAGGGTACCTACCTGCCATCGTTGAATACTCTGCAGGCTTGACCAAATGGATTCCAGGCAGCATGCTGACTGTCAATGGTGCGAGTCGGTACGCCTAGTTCATGAGCGATGGCTTGTGGAGTGCAGGGGTACTTAGTAATGAGTTAGAGTAATGAGTTAGGGATTCTGTATGGTGTCGAGAGACCCCGTAGATGCGGATGCCGGCCGGTAAGCCAGGCAGTCCCCCCACGGCACGATGCTTACCTAGGTAGGTATAGTGTGTCAGAGCGTCATTGTGTACCTAAGCGGCTGTGCGACCTTCAGAGGGATCGCCTTGGATACGTACCTAGGTACCTCATGTGTTCCCGGTGCGCGCAGGCAGGCAAGGTGAGGAAGGCACGCCCCCTAACTTCACCCAGAACACCGCCATGCCGGCCATGCCGGCCATACGCACGCGAACTTCCTTCCTTCCTTACTACCTACTGGATGGTACCTAGGTACCTATTAGTGTGCCGGCTAGGTAGGGTAGGGAGGTAAGAGACGAACTACTCCGTACTTGCACTTTGTATATCTACGTTCTTTCTCTCTTCGTTCCCGCCCCCTTCTCTTCATTGAGGTCGCTGACAGAAAAGGAAACAAACACAGGGTGGTTCCATCCCAGGTTAGGCAGGGAAGGACGATCTTGATGATCCCTGCCGACGCAGGCTGCCGGGGGAGAGAATGGGGAAGGAGGGGCCAATAGGTCCAACATGTCCAAGACCACGGACCACCGGCACGCCCTGGGCATGAGCTTAACTCAATCAAACTTCCTTCATTTCCTGATTTTCACCTTGTCCATCTGTACCGGCATCGTTGCTTTGCTTGTACGGATACTCCTCAAGCCCTACCCCTTTCTGAGTCTCCGAACCGCGGCTTTGAAAAGTCCCGGTTCAACCAGACACCCCGTTGGCGGTGGCAGACAAGTATCACCTTGCGCCGCGTGGCCGCACGCCGCGACACGTCTTGGATGATGGTGTCGTTGTCCGCACTCGCTTCCGGGTCTCCTGAATTTCCACGACATGATTCGAGAAACGGCAATATGTCTCTGCCCTGGTCATGCCTGCACAGGATCCTTTGTGTTGGCTCCTGGCTAACCAGTCTTGTCGGCATCCAAGGAGCCCTCGACTCCTGGGCGGATGCTGTACTGCTAGTTCGGTACTAATCAGTTCCCACGAGCCTCGGGAAACAAAGGAACGCGCTCAACGGCCAGCTAGGTAGGTAGTCATTCTGAAGCGCCTCGCCTCGCGCAACAACCTCGCGCAACAAAGGACATAGGTAGCGTACTCCCACCACATGACAGTACTACCTACCGCTTGTTGAGCCCCGCGTTTGCTGCCCTAATAGTCAATCGGCGATCAGGGTTTCCCTTGTATGATCGGCACGCTGGCCGAACAAACTCTACGCGAATCCTGCCTCGACGCAAACCATTGCAAATTAAACTACCAGAATAATACGACGAGATCGACGGCACGGCGGTCGACCATATCCCCATGCACGGGTCTCACTGGTGTAAGCCACCGTCTGGTTCTACAAACAGCAACACCCATCTCAATTGCTGCAGTCCTCCGACGTTTCATCGGCGAGGGGTTCTGACGGGCATCTATCTCGATCCAACCCGCGCAACCTGCCATATCGCGAGAGACGTTGGTAACCTGTCCGAGCGCGAGTTCAGGACGTGGAAGGAGATGCTCAAGAGGCACCTCCGATGACGTCTCGAGCCTGTCCTCCGCAGTTCTCTAACTCACCCCACCCCTGGCAATGATTGCACCGCTGTGATACTTGCTTGCAAAGTCCGCATTAGGATTGCGACACTACTCCTAAGGACGCTAATGACCACTTTGACTTGACTCGGTGCTAGGGCCTTTAAGGCTCTCGACTGCTGCGGGCGCCGCGTGCCGCTTGGGCTCGCAGGCACTGGCGGTAGTGTCTTTGCCTGCACTAATCTCCAATTCCACCTATGCTACGGAGTCCAGCCACCCGGACGATTCGGCAGTACGTCTTACTCATCGGAGTCTTCTCCTAGTGCGCTTCAAAAGGCACGTCAAAGCTAAAGGATCACGGGGCTCATCTTCGTTACCTAGTGAGCATGCTGCTCCCTTTTAGACTGGTTTGTATTACCAGGTACCCGAAAAGTTAGTCACGACCCATCGGGGATGTGAGAGACGGTAAGCGGCTTACATGGACAAGGTGGGAGTGATGGGTGATACCTGCAAAGTACTTGTTCAAACTGAGCCTCCTGGAGTCTCTATTTCTGGATTCCCTGGCCTTCGCTTTTCGTCAAATGTCGTCTCATGTCCGCCTTCGGGACCAAGTGCATGCCCCTGGTCGGTCTCTTCCTCTCAGTCAATCCATCTTGACCTGCAGAGTTGCCTGCTTACACGCCTCTCGTCTTGCTTCTGATTCGTTGTCTCCGTACTGAGTATTCGGCCATAGCTCTATTGGCTGAGCCCTCCAAAACTGTTATTCCGGCAAGCTAGCTGGCGCATTCGGGTCAGCTGCGCAACCATCACCTCGGGAAGACCGCTCTTTTGGCCGAGCTGTCAGGGCTTGAGTGGTGCACCTCTTGACGGGATTGGACGCCTGTAAAGGGTCTGAGGGGCTGTCGGGTTTTGCAAAATCGACAAAACGAACACACCACGGCGAGAAACCAGTCGATATATATAAGATGGTTAAGTCCAATCGATGGTCATGGTCTGCGGTGACGAGCCAACAACCTCCCGTCCGCCCTCTTGACGCACTTGTCAAGGTCAACAAGCCAACCGATCAAAAGCTGCAGCCTGGTGCCTCCAGTGTCTCATCGCGCCGGTTGTCCAAGAATCGACGGAGCTGGCGGTCAGATGCAAATGTACTGATAACCCGGAAAGACCAGGAGAACGAACCAGGAGAGGTGAGAGGCCAGAGCCAGAGCCAAGCAGAGAAGGCAACAAAGGACCCGCACCGGTTGTCGAAACACGTGGAAACGGCCGAACCGCCGCCTCCTCCACCTACTACTACTATCACTACTACTACTACTACAACTACTACTTCTATTCTGCCACCTCCTGCTCTCACAGCTAGATCGAGACCGAGGCCGTCTTCAATGATAGCGGCTGCGAGCGCATCTTACGGCGCGGCGCCTTCCTATTCAACTTCCAAGAAGCAACAGGAAGACGAGGAACAGCCTTCGGCAGGGGTCAAGAACATGCTCAATCGAGTCCTCAATCGACGTCTTAGTTCATATAACATCAACAAGAAGTCCGCGCCGGTGGCTCAAGCTGAACCGACCCCGCCGCCCTCCCGTCAGCAGCAGCAACCACCCATGCAGATGCCGATGCCGATGCAACCGTCGATACGACATCGTCCACAACTCCACAATCCCCAGAACACCCTTCGCGCGACGTCAACCCCTGTCAACATTCTCCAGAACCAGGGTCACATCGACAACGGTCACGTCGTTGCACCGCTGCCAGGGTTGGACGAGAACTCGCAGCTGCAGCTGCCACCGACCACACGGCGTCCCTCGACTGCCCCGGGGGTTAAAATTGCAGCGTCGGCCAACGGCACTACGTCGTCAACCGCTGCACGGCCTGCGACAGAAGGGACAGGGCTGTTTGGCCGCTTGGTCCGACGGCGGCCGACTCCCAAGGAGAGGGATACCGAGAACCATAAGAAGCCGGGGAATTCCGCCAGCATCGGCGACAATACGAATGAACCCTCCGGAGTCGACGACCGAAATAGAAGCTCAACTGACCCGGTCCCAGTGATGAATGAGACCATGGAACATTACCAGATGCAGCCACAGTCTCTGCCGCTGAACCCGTCGTTACACAAGACACATGACGCACTAAGCAGTACTCCCAGGAGTGAGACCGTCTCGGATGCGCGAACGACGTCAAAGTCGTCTGTACCGCGATTCCTACGACAAGTGACAAAACCCCGGCAAGCATCTGAAGCCATGACCCAAACGGCCTCTCTCCAGAAGTCCAAGCCCCAGTCCCACTTGCGACCTTCCCGGCAGCCGGCGCCGTCCTCGACCACGCAAACTAAACTGCGTTCCAAACGCAGCTTTGGTAAGCGTTTCTGGTCGAGACCCGGCGCCAACGACTTTGACGAAGATGATGACCAGGTGGTCAAGACCGAGGCACCGCCAGTGCCATCAGTGCATCCAACGGTCTATGTACCAAAACACGCGGCGGCGGACTTTTCGCGCACCATCAACCCACGCCTCAACCGCCAAAGCCTCGTCGTTAGCGACAACCAGGTGAATGACCTACGCCCAACGACTGCCGATGCACGAGAGGGCGAGCCAGAGATCCAGCCGAAGCAACGGGCGCTAGCGAGTGCAACGATCGACAAGCACATGGCGAGGGACCTGTCCATGTCCAAGTATGAGGCGCCGTCTCCTATGGAACTGCACCGTCGCCTCGAAATCCTCAAAAGGAGCGAGGCTGAAGCGGTGGCTAAGACTCTCAACCCATGGCAGCATCAGCTCAATCTGTTGCAGACCAATGCAAACACTTCAGTTTCCAACACGAAGGCACCCATTCTGAAAGGCCCCTCTCGCTCAATATCTTCCCGTCGGCACAGCTTCAGCCTCATTTCCGACCCTCACGCGAGAGAACTCACACCACCTAGGTCAGCTTCGCCGGTCGAGACGGAAGCACCAATCGAACCTTCCAGCCAGATGCCGCAGCAAACGGTCTCTGCAGTACCGCCCGGTGCCACGTCCTCTCACGACCATACTAATCAAACTCGACAAGACGGCCCTGCCAAACAAGCTACCGCCAGGCAGATGACAGACTTTGAACGATTCTTGGCAGAAGCAGAAGCGGCGGAGCGCGAGCGCCAGGCCCAGATGTGGCGCAATCTTGCTCGCCGGTCCGGTCATTATGGTTATAGCGACAACCCCTGGAATCCCGCCCGTCCAGTCGACCCTTCTCTCGCAGGCCCCACTGCCGCGAATGCAGCGGCGACTTGGAACAACAAGCGGAACAGTGCGCAGTACACGGTCAACAAGCGGGCGAGTATGATGTCGGATTTCTACGGGCCGCCAACCGGCACATACGGCCCCAGTGGCGACGATGCAGATGCCACGCGAGGCCTGGGGCGTCAAGGAAGCGTCTCGAAGCGCATCTCGCACTACATCAAGCCGCCAAAGCCGTCTGCCCAGCCCACGTACGAGGACTGGCCGACTGGGCGGGCCAACCGGAGAAGCGCCATCGTGGGCGCGATCGGAGAGTAGGAAGTAGAGAGTGCATAGGTTCTGGCTCAATAGATGCCATCGTGGCCATCGTGATGGCATCTATTGGCTGACGGGCGACGATGGGTAACAAGACAAGGGCGTATTTGGAATGCGGGTTTTGGAGATATCCACAGGAAGATGACGATTACCGCCCGGACGTTCAACGAGATAAAAATTTTCTATGTATATACATCAAATATATCCAAGCTTGGCTTGGCCTGGCCTGGAACGAGAACACATTCCGTATATAAAACTTTAAGTCGCAAGATGTATTGAAAGATGTCGCTGAAAGCAAAGAACTGAAGAAAGGTATGGGAACTCTTATCGGTGAGAGGTTATCATGCCGTACGCGTTATGTAAGCATGCATGCATGCAGAAAGAGATACCGGCACGGAACAACCTACCTACTCCATTTATTAGGTGCCCAAGTCTGATTGCAGATAGTGAGAGTGCTCACTATCGCGGTAGGGCCAAGGTACTTAAGATGTAACGGACGGGAGCCCTGTGGTCCAAGTGGGAGTGGCCTGTCGCCCAATTTGCCATCGTGAGACGAAGAGAGAGAGAGAGAGAGAGAGAGAGAAGAAAAGTAAAGAAAGAAGAAAGAAAGAAGAAAAAAAAGTGAGGAGAAGAAGAAGGAAAGGATTCGGTCGGCTCTCCCCGTATTCTCCGGCAGCAACGTGAGAGGGAAAGAGAGAAGGAGGGACCCCACATCAGCAGCCCGCCCTCTCTTCCTGCCACGGGTCACTTCAACCTTGCGCGATTCTCCATCTATCTCTCTGTTTTTTATCTTTTTTGGGTTTCCCATCCGCATCGAAGAAAAAAAACACCCCATCGATGCAAAGAGGGACCTAGCCAGGTCAACGACACTCCTCCGTCTCCCTTCATCACAGCTCCGCCGCCCACAGTCGCTTGATCGGTCGGTCCCGCGCGCAACCGCGATCGCCTACCATGGCGCCCCTTGTGGATAATCCCCAGATCAAGGTCGCCGAGCTGTGGAAGCCTCTCCCAGTCTACCTCCACGCCTACGTCTGGCCCTTTGCCATTCTCTGGCCCATCTTCCTGCGCTACTATCTCACCCCCGAGCTTTATGAGAAGCACATCGCATCCGAGGAATGGACTTTTGTGTGGATCGGTTCTATCGTCACCCTCCAGTCCCTCGCCTGGTTGACCACCCACTGGAGCGTCAACCTCCAGGCCCTCTTCACTGCCACTCGCGCCAACTCAATTGAAGAGGCTGAGCTGGTCAAGGTCATCCCCGTGGCCAATGCCGGCTCTGCTGATATCTGCAAGATCGTTCGCGACAAGGTGAGTCAGCCCCACGCCGGAGCGCCAATACCACCCCTCAACTCCCTCCCGTAATCCATCCTCTAACATCGCGCAGGTCGCCGGCAAGGTCAACATCTCGTTCTATTTCCAGAAGCGACGTTTCATCTACTACCCCGAGGACAAGTGCTTCCGCACCCTCGCCTACGATATCGATGCCGAGCCGAAGCCCAAGATCGGGCGCTACCAGCAGTCCAGGGGCATCACAACTCAGGACGAGCTCAAGAGGATCGAGGAGCACTACGGCCCCAATGCCTTTGATATTCCCGTCCCAACCTTCACCGAGCTTTTCAAGGAGCACGCCGTCGCGCCCTTCTTTGTCTTCCAGATCTTCTGTGTCGGTCTCTGGATGCTGGACGAATACTGGTACTACTCGCTCTTCACCCTCTTCATGCTGGTCGCCTTCGAGAGCACCGTCGTCTGGCAGCGCCAGCGCACCCTCATGGAGTTCCGCGGAATGAGCATCAAGCCGTACGAAGTCTACGTATACCGCCTGGGCAAGTGGACCGAGATCATGAGCGATCAGCTCCTGCCCGGTGACCTTGTCTCTGTTGGACGCACCAAGGAAGACAGCGGCGTCGCCTGCGATATGTTGCTCGTCGAGGGAACTGCCATCGTGAACGAGGCCATGCTCTCTGGCGAGAGCACCCCTCTTCTGAAGGATTCCATCCAACTCCGGCCCGCCGACGCTGCGCTCGAGCCCGAGGGTCTCGACAAGAACGCCTTCCTCTGGGGTGGCACCAAGGTCCTGCAGATTACTCACGGCAACCCTGACGAGGAAAAGCCCAAGCTGGCCTCCGGTGTCCCACCCCCTCCCGACAACGGCGCCATGGCCATCGTCCAGAAGACCGGCTTCGAGACGTCTCAGGGCAGCTTGGTCCGCACCATGATCTACTCTACCGAGCGTGTATCCGCCAACAACGTCGAGGCCCTGCTCTTCATTCTGTTCCTCTTGATTTTCGCCATCGCTGCCTCATGGTACGTCTGGGACGAGGGTGTCAAGAAGGACCGCAAGCGCTCCAAGCTCCTGCTTGACTGCGTCTTGATCGTCACCAGTGTTGTTCCCCCCGAGCTGCCCATGGAACTTAGTCTTGCGGTCAACACTAGCTTGGCTGCCCTGGCCAAGTACGCCATCTTTTGCACCGAGCCATTCCGCATTCCCTTCGCTGGTCGCGTTGATGTCGCCTGCTTCGACAAGACCGGCACCCTGACCGGCGAGGACTTGGTTGTCGAGGGCATTGCCGGTTTGGGACTAGGCCAAGCCGCCGGTACAGACACTCCCCGTGAAACGGATGGTGCCCACTCGCAGATGACGCCGGTCAACGAGATCCGTCTGGACACAACTTTGGTTCTTGCCACTGCTCATGCTCTTGTCAAGCTTGACGAGGGCGAGGTTGTTGGTGACCCCATGGAGAAGGCTACTCTGACATCTCTTGGCTGGACTCTTGGAAGAAATGACACCCTCACCAGCAAGCCTACCACGGCTGCTACTACTGGTATTAGCGGAACCGTTCAGATCAAGCGCCGCTTCCAGTTCTCCTCCGCCCTCAAGAGGCAGAGTGCCGTCGCGACTGTCAACGGTGCAGACAAGCAGGGCAACAGGATTCGCGGTACTTTTGTCGGTGTCAAGGGCGCTCCGGAAACCATCATGAAGAGGCTGTCTTCTATCCCGACAGACTACGAAGAGACGTACAAGTACTTCACCCGCCGTGGCTCTCGCGTTCTTGCTCTCGCTTATAAGCAGCTTACTGTTGACAATGAGCTTGGGGGCAGCAAGATCAACGAGCTGAAGCGTGAGAATGTCGAGTCTGGACTCACCTTTGCTGGATTCCTCGTCCTGTCCTGCCCCCTGAAGGAAGATGCCAAGCAGGCTGTCCAGATGCTCAACGAGAGCAGCCACCGCGTTGTCATGATTACCGGAGACAACCCTCTCACCGCCGTGTACGTCGCCAGAGATGTCGAGATCGTAGACCGTGACGTCTTGATCCTGGACGCCCCTGAAGACAATGAGGGTGGTGACAAGCTCGTCTGGCGCAGCGTCGACGAGAAGACAGTCATCCCGGTTGATGCCACCAAGCCTCTGGACGCCAAGATCATTGAGAACAACGACCTCTGTGTTACCGGCTACGCCCTTGCCAAGTTCAAGGACCAGGTTGGCTGGAAACAGATTCTCCGTCACACCTGGGTCTACGCGCGTGTCTCGCCCAAGCAAAAGGAGGATATTCTTGTTGGTCTCCGAGACATGGGTTACTACACTCTGATGGCTGGTGATGGAACCAACGACGTCGGCGCTCTCAAACAAGCTCACATTGGCATAGCCCTTCTCAACGGCACTCAGGAGGATCTCACTCGCATTGCTGAGCACTCTCGCAACACCAAAATGAAGGAGATCTACCAGAAGCAGGTCGACCTGATGAAGCGATTCAACCAGCCAGCACCCCCCGTCCCCGTCATGATTGCCCACCTGTACCCTCCTGGTCCCAGCAACCCCAACTTCAACAAGGCTGTTGAGCGGGAGGCGCAGAAGAAGAACGTTGCCCCTGAGGAATGGCTCAAAGCCAATGGCATCAGCGCCATCGAGACCGTCACCTCCCCCGGTGCCCAGCAGCTTCTCAACAATGACCCGAAGGCTGCTCGTCAGGCCAAGGCTGCTGCAAACGCGGCTAGCTTCGCCGACAAAATGACTTCGAGCATGATGGAGAACGAGATGGGCGATGATGAGCCCCCCACCCTAAAGCTTGGTGATGCCTCCGTTGCCGCCCCCTTCACAAGCAAGCTGCGCAACGTCATTGCTGTCCCAAACATCATCCGCCAGGGCCGTTGCACGCTTGTTGCGACCATTCAGACCTATAAGATCCTCGCACTCAACTGTCTCATCAGCGCCTACAGCCTGAGTGTCCTGTACCTCGAGGGTATCAAGTTCGGTGACGGCCAGTACACAATCAGCGGTATCCTGATGAGTGTCTGCTTCCTATCCATCTCACGCGCTCGGGTCGTTGAGGGTCTGTCCAAGGAGCGTCCTCAGCCCAACATCTTCAACTTCTACATCATCGGTTCGATTCTGGGACAGTTTGCCGTCCACGTTGTTACTCTGATTTACATTGCCCGCTTCTGCGACAGACTTGAGCCGTAAGTTCTACTCCGCCTTTTTTTTTTTTTTTTTCAAACAAAGAAAAGGAAAAAAGAAAAAGAAAAAGAGAATCCCACCTACAGATATGCTGACAAACACGTAGCCGCTCTGGCGACGTTGACCTCGACGCCGAGTTCGCCCCCAGTCTGCTCAACAGCGCTGTTTACCTGCTCCAGCTTATCCAGCAGATCAGCACGTTTGCCATCAACTACCAGGGACGCCCGTTCCGTGAAGGTCTCCGTGAGAACAAGGGTATGTTCTACGGCATTGTCGGTGTCTCTGCCCTGGCCTTTTCCTGCTCGATGGAGTTCATCCCCGAGATCAACGAGCAGATGAAGCTGGTCCCCTTCACCGATGAGTTCAAGACGACGATGACGGGCATCATGGTCATCGACTATGCCGCCTGCTGGGTGATCGAGGTCGTCCTCAAGCACCTCTTCTCCGACTACCGCCCGCGCGACATCGCCGCCCGCAGACCCGAGCAGCTGGAGCGCGAGCGGATCCGCAAGGAGGCGGAGCAAAAGAAGAAGGATGAGGAGGAGGAGCAAAAGCGCCTGGAAAAGGTGGCCGAGTTCGAGCGCAAGGTGGAGGAGCGCCGTCAGCAGCTCGAGGCGTGGAGACAGGGCCGGAGGCAGTAATTGTCGGGCGATAGACCAATCGTGTTGTTTCCAACGGAAGAAACTGCATGTTAGACGATGTAAGGATACGATCGATGTATGATAGCAGTTGAACAGTTGAAAACCTGCACATACAAACCAGTGGATTACTGAGATTGCACCTGCTCAAAGGGAAATGTTTCCGTTCTTTTTTTTTTTTTTTCTTTTCTATTTTTTGGAATTGGATGCGGGTATAGGGAATGTGACATCTACCAGCAGTTGTGCTCTGCGATCGGCTTGCTTGAACGTGTTGGCCATGGATGCATGTTAAGTAAGATTGGGTGATGTTTCAAATTTGACGTATGCTTCAGTTCAGGAATGTCGAGGCAGGCCACTTCCTTTTTTTTCTTTCCCCTTTTCTTTTTTAACTCCCCTTTGACTCGTCATGAACATCAATCAAAACAAAACCAAAAAAAACCTATCCTCGCGTTCCATGCTTCAGATAGTCCAGCATTAAACATCACATAAATAGTGCAAAACGGCTCGCAGGGGTGCGTCAAAGATTGAAGTCAAGAGTGTTTGAAATTTATGGTACAGAGGCAGACCTAAAGTCGATGCCGCGAGTAGGAAAGCACGACTTTTTGCGCCTCTGCGTCTACCCGTCGTTTCCCCTTCCGGCCGTACACCCGAAACGTGATTGGCGTCGAGATTGAGCCGGGAGGGATTTGCGTTTCGGTTTTGTTGTTGTTTTCAACCATACTCAACCATGTCCATCTACTACAACAGATGGCCGGCCCCCAGATTGATGGGGGGGGGGGGGGCCTGCTCAAGGGAGAACAGTGACGATGCGCTTATTTGGGGGGTTCTGGGCGACGAAAGCAACGCCCTTGGCGATGTTCTTCTTAAGGT